TGGAAAACAGTATGGAAGTTCTTTAAAACAATTAATAAAAGAACTTTCATATAATCCAACAAATTTGCTTCTCTATATTTATCCAAAGAAATTCAAAACACCAATCTAAAAAGATATATGCACCCTTATGTTCATAATAGCATTCTATATAATAAAAGCCCAGCAACCATAACAACAGAACAACCAGAATGACCTGTTGACCAATCACTATGTGATGCACACTGACCACCAGGGGCCAGACACTCAATGCAGGAGGAGAATTCACACTGGAGAAAAACCTTATGGGTATACAGATTTTGGGAATCATTTACCAAAAAATGTAGCCTTATAAAGAATTCACAGTAGATAAAAGCCTTGAATGTTTAGGGAATGTTCCCTTTTCCTTACCCACCATAACAACACTGAAGGAAACTTTATAATACACATTTGCCTAAATATGATCCCTTTTTATTAAGACACACACTGCTAGATTCCTCATAAGTTTCAGGTACAAGTGGGGCTTTCAGGAACTGCTACACTGGCTATCTTGCCCAGGTGTACTACGTACTGTGAAGGTTTATGGCTGAAGTGATTTCTCTTCTACCACCTAGCTCACTGAAGAGTCTGGAAGCACTGAGAGTGGCCACCCTCTCTCTACATCTCTGATATACCTAGGAGGTATATACATGGTAGCTTCTCTTTTTAAAAAATACATTTTATTGATTTTTTTACAGAGAGGAAGAGAGAGGGATAAAGAGTTAGAAACATCGATGATAGAGAAACATCAATCAGCTGCCTCTTGCACATCCCCTACTGGGGATGTGCCTGCAACCAAGGTACATGCCCTTGACCGGAATCAAACCTGGGACCTTTCAGTCCACAGGTCCACCTTTCAGTCCACTGAGCCAAACCTGTTTCAGCCATGGTAGCTTCTCTTTATACAAGGCCCAGGAGAATCAAAGAGAACATGTGGCCTGAACAAGTAAGATGCCTTATCTATAATAATAAAAGCATAATATGCTAATTAGACCAGATGTCCTTCCAGATCACCTTGTAGATAAAGCTGAACTATGAGGGAAGTCTAGGTCCCAGGTGCCAGAGAGAAGCTGGTGCTCACAGCCAGGGAAAGGAAAGCCTCCTCTTACACAAATTTCGTGCATTGGGCCTCTATTTTAAATTTAGCCAATAAATCTTTGGGTCTGTCTGTAATCCACAGTAATTTTCAGCCAATCCTAATGCTTATGCAGTACCCAGTCTATTCTCTAGGCGGACACAGACCTTTACAGTGGAAGCCAGAGCTTTGTTATTACAGACACATGGGTTTGACTTCTAGGCCTGCTTTTAATTAACTCTATATCCATGAAATTTATGTTAAAATAATCATTTCTTTAAAGCATTGAATCCAGGGCTTGGTACATGTAGTAAATATTCAATAACTCTGAGCTCCATAGCTTCACAATGTGTAATGACTATAAACATGCAGACAATGTAGGAAATGTCAACTTGTTAGCTTATGTATCCTTTAAATTTTTGGTTCTTAAACAACTAGGAGAGAATTATGTGTATTTCCAACTATCCTGATTTTCTTCTCTTAATAATATGTTTTTGATAAAAATATAATATCAGATGGATGGAGTGGGTCTGTTGGTTGAGTGTAGTTCCATGCAGAGAAAGGTTATCAGTTATATTTTTGGTGAGGCATTGGCCAGGTCTTCTGAGTGAAAGCCCAGTGGGTGGGTGGGGGCTATGCAGGAGGCACCAATCAGTGTTTTTTCTCTTTTCCTTTCCTTTATTCTCTCCACAAAAATCAAATAAAGAAACTTAAAACAATATACCCATTTAGATTTGTGGTCTTCATAAATAATTGAAAGAATGCTTTTTCACCTCAAGGACCATTCTAAATTTCATGAAATCTGAAATTATATCTCAATACAAGAGATCAGTTGCAGACAACACTTCCAAGCAACCTGCAACCAGCCCCCAAATCTTAAATTTGTCATTTTACAGCACCTCTGAGAGGCTCCAACACAAGTATTTGCAATGATCAATCAGTGTTTGAGATCCTAATTCCACCTGTTGGGCCTGTAAGTTACCCAGAGTGAACCACATCTAATTATGGCTTCATTTATCCAATGAAAGATCAGGGCAGGAGTATTAATCCAGTGCTGATGGGTTTGGGTGTTGCTTTCAGGTGCTCATTGTGATCTTTTTGTTCTGTTAACCTATAGATTCCTGTGCTGGGTCACAACTAGGACCAGGCTTCAGAGGCACTGTCCCCACGGTTCAGTGTTTGTCTGAAGCTTGTTGAGCAGCAACAGTCAGCATGGAGGCCTATGTGCCTCCCAGACTCAGTTTTGCTTGAAGAGTTCTACTCAGTCTCACTCCATTTACCCTTCAACCTTCTTTGCCGGAGCCTGTTGGGTCCTGCAACCCAGGTCACAGAGTCCAGAGCAGTAAGTCCTTTTGGGTGATATATGTTGTGATGGGTGAAAGAGGATGAGAGGCTGCAGTGCCACCCTGTAAGGTTTTGGTTAGTGTGACTGATCTGAGAGGATTTGGGGATCCTAGGCTTGTTTTGTACCTAAAGGCAACAAAGAAGATGAGGCAAAGTATTTAGTGAGAAGTTTCAGTTTCACCCTCAGTATCCTAGGACCATCTATGTTGGAGAATAAATAGGGTTCTAAACTCTTCCCAACTCCTAGGAATGAAACTCGAAGGCAAAGGATGCCAGTTGGGGACAGAAAGGAGAAGTCCTTTGAAAGACATCAAACTAGGCAAGGGTGTGCCTTTAGGACTGAGGCCCTGATGTAAAGTCATCTCCAGGGGCTGGGGAAAGGTCCTGAGCAGCAGAGCCCATGAATCGTGGTGGTGGTTGGCAGGTTATCAGCAGGCCTTAAGTTTCCACAGATTCCTGCAAATGCAGAATCACATAGTGGTACTGGTTTGTGGAGCTTATATCAGGGACTCACACTCTTGTGGCCTCTGAGATAGTTGAGTCCTGGGATTGTCCTGCCACTCTTCCAGCCCTTGTGCCTGGGGACCTTTAACAAACACTAAACCCAGAATCCTAAGTCCAGGTTTAGGGTTGTATGAACTGCTCCCTGATTTTGGCAATTAGAAAAATGAGATGTGGGAAGTCCTCCCAGAATGTGTAAACACCTAGAGTAGGGGTGTCGAACTCAATCAGAGAAGGGGCCAAAATCTAAAATCCAGCCTAAATCACGGGCTGAATGGTTTACTGAACAGTCATAAACTGTCATTGTGATGGAAACGCAGCGGAGTGCAGTGATGACAGCACGGTGCGGGCCACATTGCAAGGCCTGGCGGGACGGATTGGGCCTGCTGGCCTTGTTTGACACATGCGACCTAGAGTAAAGACCAAACCAGTTCAGGATCTTGCAAGTATCCTCTCATTTTAAAAAAATGTAAGCAGTAAAAATGGGTTAAAATCAGATCTAGAGGAACTTTGTGCAACTTGGAAGTCTGTTCTGCAGGTGATGGGACATTAGGAGATTTGCAGCAGTGGTGGCAGGTGATCTGAACCAGGTCTCATTTGACACCTGGTGGATGCAGCATGATGGACTATATGCCTGTAAGGGAGGAGGTAGAAAGACTAGGAAAGAAACTTCAGTGATAGTTTGGGTAAGTGTGTTGGTAACCAGCCCATAATAATGGCTGTAGAGATGGAAGTAACAGTGGCATTCTTGACCTGTGATTTAGGTATGGCCACCTGAATTTTCTAATGTTGAGGTTGAGAGCCAGAGAGGAAAGAGTCAGAGTTGACATTAAGTCTTGGATTTAGCATCTGATTGTACGAAAACACCAACTCAGATGTAGAAATTCATAGTAGGAAGTGTTATGTTCATAGGAGATACAAAAACTTTTACTTTTTGGCCTGTTAGAGTATTTCAGAGAGCAGTTCAAGAGCGTATAGAATTCTGATAAGCAGTTCAAAAGGTAGATTTTCTTAAATGTAGTGGAAAATGTATAGTCCATATAGGAATTGTAGATCACCTTTTTTTTGTTTTGAATTGGATGCCAAGGGTATTCCAAAAAAGATGAGACTATGGCTGGTGGTAATTTTCTTATCTAAACTGGGGTTTTGATTATGATTGCTGTGACTGGGTTGTTGCTTTCAGTTTAGTGGGATTGCTTAGGGGCATGAGTGGTCATCTCTGAGATTCCCTGGGCATGGTGTGGGCAATAAGTGATGGGACTTGAGTGATGAAAGGCTGTGATTGATGAAGAGACATCAAGTGCAGTAACAGTGAAGGTGGGCTCTGAATATCTGCTATCTCATGTGGTTCACATTAGGCAAGGTGGAAGGAAACAAAACCATCAGGGACGGAGACCTTCAGAGAAGGGCAGGACACTTCCTCTATAGTTGTGAACTATGAGATTATAGGTAGTGCATCACCCATTTGAATTTTCTAGGTATTCTCTGGGTTACACATGCTCAATAATGAGTATGAGGCCAAGGAGATGACTATGGGTGCTTAGGATTTGGGAGTTTATATGTGAGACAGGTGTGGTAGAAGAAAAAAAAATGTCACTTGGAGAGGATATGTGAATTCATGGTGGCAGGACCCTGTTATTAACATAATAATGAAAGAAGGCTGAGTCCATTTCTGGGCAGGACTGGATGATATGGGGAATTTTAGAGTAATTATTGAAAAGGAAGTTTGTTGTGGTTCTACATTCTAGATGAAGAGTTTAAATGTCATTTATATGCTCACCTGGTGTTTCTTGTTGAGGGTTGCCCCAGTAATCAAGAGGAATGAGATAGTAGATATCCCTGTCACCTGTGCTTGAAAACCTCCACTAGCATGAGGAAGGGAGATGATAAGAGAGAAATACATGATAGAAGTGATAAATTAGAATTTTGAAAAAGAAGTTAATTAGGAAACAACTTGTCCTTGTCACAGCATATTTATGATACCAGTGAGGTTGTGCCTATTGGAATGAAGCTGTGTGAGAGGAGTGTGGTTCAAAGAATTATGTGACAAAAAATGTAGTGAGTAATGGCCTCAACATCTGGATTTGGAGTCAGAAAGGTAAAGTGTGAGATCATGTTTTTGGTGTCTTGGAAGGGAAAATTGAGAGAAAACAAGCATATTACCTAATAAGACCAATGCCGAATCATTCACACTCCCTTTATGTGCAACAGCTCTCATTGCCCTAACACCTGACACCCCCTGTTATTGAGATGTTGTGGTGTGACTCACATTGAGGCCCAGAGCACAGGTATCTATCTGCTCAGCTCCTTATTGTTGTTGGAATACACAGCATCAGTAGGAATATAAGGAAAGATCGACTTTGATGGGACCAAGGCCTAGTATCTTACCTGACGTGGGGAGTAGAGGGAGCAGATGGATATGGTGGTTTAAGAGTATGACAGATTTGGAATATTAACAGAGAATCTGATCATGGCCTGTACTGTCCTCATTATGACAGGATATGAACTTCAAGGATGTGGTCATTGCCTTCTCTCAGGAGGAATGGGATCTTCTTGATGAGGCTCAGAGACTTCAGTACTGGGATGTGATGCTGGAAGTGTTTACACTTGTAGCATCTATAGGTAAGAACTTCACATCTCTCCAAGTATCCCGAGGTGATGTTCTCTCTTACTTTATTTCCTAGGCATAGCTCTCTCTCACAAAGCCAGACTATGGGCTCTGCAGATATTCTTCACTGTCTTTTTAAATGTGTGATGGCTGCCAGTGATGATCACTGTGGAGAGCCCTGAGCAATAAACTCCACAAACTTCTCTTACAATATTTGCCTCAGCAAGTGCAGGGAGTTTCTGGGAGTTAGGTGCCTTACAGATAGCTTAATTGATCCCACCTGCTGTTTCTCTTCCTGGGAGGGTGACTATTTTCAGATTCTACTTCTGCCACTTTCATAAAGATAAATTCCTAGGTGACTGTGCCAGTTGATGGTCTTTACTTGCATGAACCATGGGATGTTCTTGTAAAACCCTCCTTCATACAGGAACCAGCTCTTTTCCATCAGTTTTCAGTTGTAAGTGCCACTGGCTATACCACATTTCTATCTTATCTTTTACCTCCTTTATTTTTTCTGACATGTTATTTCCCCATAGCTTTTGGCTATGTTCACCTTTGTGGCATTTTTGCATCACCTGTTCCTCTGCATTACTGCCTCTGCAGTATTCTTCAACACTGACTTACACATACATGCACATACATGCTTAAGTAGGTTTCAAACACCAACTACTCATTTATTGAATAAGACATAAGTAAAATTCTGCAGAGTTGGCCAATGTCTCTGCAGAATTTTGCTTATGAACACTGTTAGCCTAAGGAAGGGCTGGAAGTCTTAACCACTCTTCCCCATGGTGTTTTCCATTTTTGTGTCATATTCCCAGTGTAGTCTTCCTTCTTTTCTGAACTGAAGAGGCCCAGAAATTCACAGATGCCTCTTATTAATTCTTCCTTTACATTTTATTTTTTCTGAAAATTGCATAGAGCCTAGGTGTCAAGGGCCACACACTTTGTAAGGGAACTTCCCCCTGTCACCACAGTCATCATTCACTTCCTCACATTTTTTTTCTATTTTCAGGTTGTTGGCATGAAAAGGATGATGATCCTAGTGTTTATGTACAAGGAGAACCACATGTCGGGGCTTCTCAGACAGCTCCAGCAACCCAGAAGTCACATCCCTGTAAGTGGTGTTTCTCAGTGTTAAAATATATTTTGCACCTGACGAAGTCACAAGCAGAATACTTGGAGCACAATCGTTTCTTTAGGGCCGCATGTGTGAAAGACTTCTGTTTCAGTGCAAACCCTCACCAGCAACAGAAAGATGTCACTGGAGAGGCATACAGGAAAGATGCTATGGACAATCCCTCATTTGTGACCAGATGCAGCTTCTACTTATCAGTGGTGCCTTCAAAAAGCAGGGAGGTTGGAAAAGATGTCCATGCTACCTCAGATAAGGTTCTACAGCCCCAGGCCTCTCAGAATACAGAAGAGCAACACAGTGGCAGTGATATCTCCCAAGAATATCTTAGTGGAAAAAGTCACCACCAGTGGACTGAATGTGAAATAGCTGCCAGCCAGACACAGAAAGTTGTTGAATGTCAGGGTGTCTATTCTGGAGAACTGATTTATGAGTGTGACACATGTAAGAAAGGTTTCAAATGAATCTTTAACCTCATTCAACATAAAAGAGTTCACACTGGAGAAAAGCCATATGAGTGTACAGATTGCAGGAAGTCCTTTAGTCAGAGTTCCTCCCTTACTCGACATCAGAGAATTCACTCTCAAGAAAAGCCTTATAAGTGTAGTGTATGTGGGAAGTCCTTTAGATGTAAATATTATGTCAATAAACAACAGCAAATTCACACTGGAGAAAAGCCATATGAGTGTACGGATTGTAGGAAGTCCTTTAGTCAGAGTTCCACCCTTATTCAACATCAGAGAATTCACACTGGAGAAAAGCCTTATAAGTGTAGTGAATGTGGGAAGTCCTTCAGTTTTAAGTCTAATGTCAATAAGCACCAGCGAGTGCACACTAGAGAAAAGACATATGAATGTACATATTGTGGGAAATCATTTACCCAAAAATATAACCTTATAAGACACCTGAGAATTCACAGTGGATAAAAGCCTTGAATGTTTAGGGAATGTGTCCTTTTCTTTACCCACCATAACAACACTGAAGGAGACTCTAATACACATTTGCATAAATATGATCCCATTTATTAGGACACGCACACTGTTAGATTCCTCATAAGTTTCAGGTACAAGTGAGGCTTTCAGGAACCGCTACAATGGCTATCTTGCCCAAGTGTACTACGTGCTTGATGTCACTGTGAAGGTTTATGGCTGAAGTGATTTCTCCTCTACCATCTGGCTCACTTGAACAGTGTGAATCAGTGAAAACAAAACAAAACAAAAAACAAACAAACAAAAAAAACCCTGAATGCTATATTGTGCTTGAATGAATTCTAAATATTCTGAACACACTCTAGCCAGTTTGGTACAGTAGATAAAGTGTTGGCCTCCAGACAGAAGGGTCCTGGATTTAATTTCAGTCAAGGGCATTTGCTGGGCTTGTGGGCTCGATACTCTGGCATGCATGCAGGTGGCAGCTGATCAATGATTCCCTCTCATCAGTGATGTTCCTATTTCTCTATCCCTCTCCCTTTCTCTCTGAAATAATAAAAATTTATTTTTTATAAAGTGATAATTTGCAACATTTAAGTAAAGCCTCATATATAAAAATAAATAGTCCTAATTCTTGGCAGGATCTTCATTCCTTCCTTTCTGACTAGGAAATGGGCCTAACTCATGGTTTTTCCAGAATACCCATCTGCAGCAAAGAGGTAGTACCTCTCAAGATGGTTCTCACATTATGCTGTGGTGATTGGCTTAGATTCTATTTCACCAATCTCAACCCCACTGGCTCTAGTTTATGATATCTCAGTAAAGGTTTTTTGCTGATGTACCTTTTATTTTGTTGGTTTTATTCACTTCCTTCCATGTTTTGAAAGCACCATTGTGATCTGTCAGCTTGTGGATGTGAACAGATACTGTGGGACTGTCAAACCTTCAGTGATTCAGAAGGGAGAGCATAATTTCTGACATTATGCCCTCCCTTCTGAATCACTGAAACTACCCTTGTCCAAATACCGGCTTATTTTGTATTGCTGCCCAAGGTCTTAAAAGAAAGTGGCATGTCTTTGGGGTTTTAATTTACATCCCTGTACCATGGTTATTGCTGAGGTTAGTGATCACTCAGAAGAGGAGGATTTTGTTGTCCTTCTGTGAACAATATGATTTATGTTCTGTTCACAGTATATATTATGCAAGTCTCAGTAATGTTTAGGAAAACTCCTTTCCACATACTGCAAACAAGCCATTTCCCATCAAGTATGAAATTTCATGGTCTTGTGACATTTGTTATAAAATCCTGAGTTTAAACTACTATGGAGACAGAAACACTGTATTCATTGTGATGGGAGAGACTGCAGTAAATTAGATGGAATTTGTCTCTTTTGAATGTATAATCGAAAAATGTTCCTGAGCTTGTGGCTTGTGTGACCTTTGTTTACAGACATTCTCAGGACCTCCAAAACTTTTTGAGGTAGCTGAAGTCATTGGTGGAGAAAACAATTTAATGGTTGTGTGTACCCCCTGGTCTCTCTAAAGTGTTTACCTCAGGTCATTTCTCAATATGTAAGAACTCAGGGTGGATGAAGGCTAATCCTGTAATCCATACCTGACTGTGAATTTTGTGACTGTTAAGCCTTCCTATTGATTCCCAGGGCAGTAGTATTCACTGCTTGCCAATGAAAACTGACATGCAAGAAATGAGAACTGACATGCAAGAAAGTGCATTTTTCTAATGTGTGTTACTTTGTGAGACTTGACCTAGAGACAAAGCTGTAAAACCACCGCAGGTGAAATCTTATCTGTCACTATATTCAAGGTGTGGCAAAAGTAGGCTTTTAGTTGTGAGTACACAAACTGCACCACTTGTGGGTTGTTTTTTTTTAATTATTAAAAATATGTTTATTTTATTTAATTTTTTTTTAAAAGAGGAGGGAAAGGGGAGAGAGAGAGAGAAACATTCATGAGCTCTCTCCTGTACACCCCTTACGGGGTACCTGTGAGGAGCTGACATGCACTGACATGGGAATTAAACCAGAATGTTTCAATACACTGGATGACGTACCCAGCTGACGTACACGGTGAAAACAAAGTTTATTTTGGTATATTTATGTGTTATTTCCTATACCCACAACTCTAATCCTTATCCACACTCTACATTTTCTTCCTGCCCTTTTATTATCTCTCTTTCTGACTTTCCCTGTCTTCCATGCAATCATTAATTTTCCATCCTTTACATTAGATTAGTTCATATTTTTCATAATTTTATATACACTATAAGGTGTGTATTTTTTTTTTACAAATACTGATTTCCTTAATGCCACAGATATTTTGAGATCCAATACAAATGTTTATGTGAATATTGAATTTGTGTTATTGCAGAGTCATATTATGTTCTATTGGTAGCAACTTCATCTATTGATCACTTTATAAGGTTGGTTATTTCCAGATTTGGGGTATTATAAATAAATCTGTTTGAAATATTTGCATTCAGTTATTTTTTTATATAGATCTGTTAGTTGTCAAACATTTGTAGTCTAGGTCAATGTTTCACATTTATAGAACTGTCATCTAAAGTGGTCATGCACTTTGCCTTCCCACCCAGAAACAATATATAAAAATCCCAATTTTGTTCAAACCTGGCATCACATTTGATGGTTAATCTAATGTTGGCTCAGAATGTTTGCCATAAAAAAAAGTACTATTTTAACCAATACAAAGATAGATAACAATCTGAGATATATATTTGAATTTCACTAATTCCTCTATAAATCAACTGACTTATTTACTATATGAAACTAAAGGTTTTGAATACTGTAAGAAAAGCTGATTTTCCCAATTTTTTTTTCTATGTACAATTTAAACCCATGTATACCTTATATTTACTGGTATTATCTACATGGTTAACATTCTCCACCACTCTTTTATAAGTCTAAGCATTCAATAATACATTAAATGAAGTCTGAGTTTATAATTTTTGTTCATTTCCCTTATGTAAATATCCTCATTGTGGTTATTTCCAAACTGCCAAAATGATGGCACTGCACAAGGAAATAAAATATTTTAGCAGTGAATCATTATATTTTACTAGAGGCCCATTTCATGAAATATGTGCATGGGGAGTGGGGCATTGTGAAGGTTCCTCTTAGCCCCACCTGCACCCGTTAGCAATCTGGGACCCACTGGTGGATATCTGACTGCCAGTAAGGCCTGATTGGGCTTATAGTGGCATTTGGGCATCCCTATTGCAATGTGGGACTGCTGGCTCCTACCTGCTCACCTGCCTGCCTGTGTGATTGCCCCTAACCCCTCTGCCTGCCTGCCTGATGCCCCTAACTGCTCGTCTGCCTGCCTGATCAGATGACTTCTGAAATAGCATCTTGGGATTAGTCCTCGGACCTGCAAATACTGGAACCTCTTATTAATCTTTCCTGCATGCCACTTACTTTCAGACAATTGCATGAAAACAGTCTATTATAAAGAATACAAATTTGTATCAAATCATCCCCATGGTACCTGAGTCAACATTATTTTCCTTATCCTTCTGTGTTTTTAGATTTTTGTCATAAAATGGAATATAAGGTGGCAACTTCTGGGTAAGGAGAGTCACAGATCAGGGCTTCTAAGACAGCTCCAGCAAATGCGAATGCCCTTCTGTGTAAGTGTTGTTTCTCAGTGTTAAAATCTACCCTCAACATGACTTATTTAGAAGCAGCATTTGTTGCACAGAAAGCATCCTCTGGGGATTCATACGTAAAAGACTTCCCTTTGAGTGAGAATCCTCATCAGCAATAGAGGGATTCTAGTGAAGGGGAGCCCTGGAAAGAATATCTGGGCAGAGCTTCGTGTGAGACCAAGATTACCTTCTACTTATCTTGAATGCCTTCAACCAGTAAGGAGATTTAGGAAGACATCTCAACCATGTCATACCATTCCCAGCACCAGACAACTCTTAACACTGATGCTCCACACTGGAGCAGTGAGATTTCCCAAAAACTTATCAATAACATAGTATTCTCCAGAGTGGTAAATGTGAAAATAGTGACAGTGAAAACCAGAAAGGTGTCTGTTCTGGAGAAGTGAATTATGAGTATAAAAATGTGGCAAAGTGTTTAGAAGAATCATTAGACTAATTTGAGGTAAGAAAATTCACACTGACGAAAAGCCCAATAAGTGGAGTGGATATAAGAATTTCTTTGGTAAGAGCATTGCTCACATGAAACACTGAAGAAATCACACCAGAGTAGAGCCATATGAATATATTGATTGGGGGAAGGCCTTCAGTCAAGGTCTATCTTCATTCAACAACACACCATTCCCAGTGGAAAAAAGAGATATGTGTGTACTTAATGTTGGAATTCCCTCTCCCTAAGGTCTGATTTTACTGATCACCAGACTTCACCATAGAAAAAAGCCAGATGAGTGTGGAGTATGTGGGATGTCCTTTCATCAAAGGTCTATCCTCACTATCCACCTCAGATTTCACCTTGGAGAGAAGCCATATGAGTGTAGTGATGTGACAAGTCCTTTAAATAAAGGTCTACCTTCATACAATACCACAGAATTCACACTAAAGAAAAGTATGAGTGTAGTAAATGTAGAAAAATCTTTCATCCAATGGTCTGATTTCAATAATCACCAGTGAGTTTATACTGAAAAAAATCCATCTGTGAGTACAGATTGTGGAAATTCCTTTAATCAAAGCTCTATCCTGATTCGATATGAGAGAATTCACACTGGAGAAAAGCCATATGAGTGTAGAAATTGTGAGATTTCCTTTAATCAAAGCTCTAACCTCACTAAACACAGAGTTCACATTGGAGAAAAGATAGATGAATATGTGATTATGGGAAGTTGTGCAATTGGAGGTCTCATCTCAGTGAACATCTCAGATTTCACACCAGAGACAAACTATTGAAATAGTGTGTGTGTGTGAATTCTTTTTGGTTCCATATTCAGCCCCTTAACCTCACAAGATAGTCTACACTGCAGAAAAGCAATGTGAGATAGTGATTGAGGGGAATTCTTTAAACATGAATCTAGCTCATAGAACACCACACAGGTCACACGGGAAAGATTTCATGAGTGTGGTGAATGTAAGAAATCTTGTAGCCACAAACCTAGCCCAGTTATACACCTGAGAGTTCACACAGTAGAAAATCTTAAATGTGCAGGAAATGCTTTATTTTTCTCACTGAGAATAACACTGAAGGAGATTCTTTGTGACACATTTACATAACTTTAAATTCCTTTTAATGGAACAT